TTTTTCGCAACAAAGCTGGAGGAGTACGTGTGGGATATCGAGCTGCAGGGAAAGAGTTTTCTCCATCTGTCGTCGAACAGAATAAATTATATGATAATCTTGGTCCTGGATTTCTAGAAAATGTAAACACGTTTGAAATAGGAGAATCGCCGAACACAAATTACGATTTGATGAAGTCCTATTTTACGTCTCCCAATTCCCTTCAATCTGCCAAATGTCAAGAAAACGAAGTATACAATAACAAAAACAGTGAAAACATTCGAAAATTAAATTTTTCTGTTCTGTTTTGCTCAAATTGTCGTATGAAGTGCGAAGTGAAGAGTTGTGGAAAGTGTTTTACTGCTACATATTGCAACAGATCTTGCCAAGAAAATCATTGGTCAAAGCATAAACAAATATGCAAAATTTTACGTGAGAAGTCAAGCTATTTGATCACTTCCATGAAAAGTGTCGGACTTGATGCTACGCAGCGAGTTGAAGGTAAAAAAGAAATTGATCCTGTGTTTAGCCAATACCCACCACGCCACGGTAGGTTTGTTGTAAAAGTACATAATGCCATAGCAACGAAATTTCCGTCCTACACTCTCGTGCTGTGCGACCGCAGTCGCAAACTTTTGCAGACATTTGATTCCATAGTTATTACTGAACTTGTAAAAGAACTGGGTGTACAGTGTGAACGAAAATATGCAGAAAAAAAGCTTTTTTTCCACTGCTTGTTCGAGGAAAATGGAAAGCTTCGACTATTCATGAACGAATTTGCTGAGTTTCAAAATTGGTGAAAACATAGACTGAGAAATCGTCCGAGCAGAAATATTCAAAACTGAGGCTTGGATCCGGGGTCCATCCTGAACTCGAGGTGTTTGTGTTGGTTCCATAGTTGCTATGAAGGTCGTAAACAGTTTTCATACCATTATTTCCAGCTAATTCCAGATATTTTTCTAACTCATCGTATCGCTATCAAGTATTCAGTTCATAAAACCATAATATTATACACAGTACAATATATAGTAACAAGTGAGCATCATCAGTTTTAATTTTACCTTTTATGCGTGCACAGTTGTGGTTAGGGCAGTTACTATAGGATCTTTATATTTCTTAACAGTTTGTTTTGTACAATTAGGGACCGGTTATTATTTATGGTGGGGGGTGGCACCGAAGAGAAATGTTTTTCGTGGCAAAAATTTTGCTGACCCAACCATTAAAAAGTCAAAAATTTGATTACCCAACCTCAAATATCAAGTAAAAATAAATACCCACCCCTGGCTAAAATTAAACTTTACA